GGGATATGCTTATATATATATATCGAATGTCTTAAAGTAGACGTTGTATAAGAGTCTCTAATGAGTCTGAGCTTAATAAGTAGATATTGATTTTGGTTCAACTGTAAGAGGCTCAACTGCTTGTGCAGTATTCTCTAATACGTTCATATTGATTTTGGTTTTGACATTCTTTGAGGTTCTATCAAAATGATCTTTTTGTTTATTTGTCATATTATCAAGTCATTTCAAAGGAAAAAAATTCAAGAACAATGACTCACCGTGCAAAACGCGAACATAATACTAGATAGCAAAAGGAAATAAGTTTACCTTTTTTTTTTCTTTCTTTAATTTTTAACTAATTTTGTTTTTGATCTATACATTTACAGTTTTATATTAAAAAATTATTATTAAATGATGGAGTGAGAGAGTTGCGACATGTAGACTTGGCTCTCTAATTTTTTACCACATGGATTAGACTATTTAATTTTGCGCACATATATCCGATTGAAAATTCTCCTTTAATATACATAAAGATATAGGATTATATAGATAAGTTTATTTATATATATAATTAAATATTGGGCGAACTACATTTTACAACCCAAGTTTTGGCCGCTTAACCATATCCCCCTCGAGTTTCCTCCGTAATACTACCAATACCTCCTTTGACAGGGTGAAAAGATAAGTCAATGCCGGCATTGTGTTAAATGACCAAAAAACTAATACTAATTCGGGCGAAAATTTGAAGGACTGAACACTAAAAAATATTTCTATTGTTTGCAATTTATTTATATTAATCCTCCTATTAGATCATCCATTATTTTCTCCCTTATCCACCCACCCCTCCTCTCTTTGCCTTATCAGCTCCATTTTTTTTCTCCCTTATCTCCACCCCTAACCACTTCATCCTCTCTGCATTGCCACCCACCATCGTAGAAGCCTTGCAGATTCACTACCACATCCCCATCAAAGCCTACATCTTCTTTTTCGTAGTGTTCCATTTGAATTAGTGGACAATTAGATCCATGGCGGTGAATGCTCATAATATCCAATTGAAGTTTCTCTTTTCGTTCTTCTGCGTACTTTTTGTTTTTGGAGTAGATTTGTGGAGTTTATGGTTGATACAGTGGAGAAAAATCGGAATTTTTCCCTGATTCTTAAAACATTGATGGCTTTTTCTTTCTGATTTAAAAGTTTTCGTTCCTCAAAAGAAAATTTTATTAGCGGAATTTGTGAAATTTTTACAAATGATTAGTTGGATCGTTAAGTAAGCTAAATGTTTTACTTTTTTGTAAAAAATTGGTTTTTAGTAAAAAATTATTATTCTTTAAATTGAAAAAAGGATTAAAAAAACTAATATCATTATTATAAAGTTATATTATTAAAAAATTAATATGATTATGTAAATCAACCATGAGTTACAAATATATATCTATAAATTTGCACAGTAGTATATAAAAATAAATAGTTTTTTTTAAAGATCATATAATATATTTTTATAGTTATGAAAAATAATAAAAATAAATAGAAAATAGAAAAAATTAAATAAAAAGTGTAAAAATACTGTTTGGTTATTTTTACAAATTTATAGGGTCATTTTTATAATTTTTAAAATTATTAGGGTATTTTTTATAATTAAAACTAACAGAGTTCCGTTAATTTAAACGGAAATTGGCCGATTGGACAAAATGGGCTAATGGTGGAAACGTTTAGAGTAATATTGGCTAACCGAAAAAGAATAAGGTGAAATTGACAATGCATGTCAACCTTTAGGTAGATCGGCCAATTTTTCCAATGTAGTATACGGTCTGGGATTATTGTTAACGTTATGGTTCTAGAATCCTTCAACTGTTAGAGAAGGTTTAATTTCTTTCTCTCTGTTAAAATCAATCCAAATAAGAACCTTAAATTGTAGATCTATAAGAGTTATAAATAGATGCAAAATCCAGCATTTTAATTTCACGTCTAATCCCAAAAATATTCTCATTTATCCTTCCATGTTCATTGTTCTTTATGTTGCGTCATTATTTGAAATCTTCTTTTTCTAGTCAGTCAGCCGAGAGAAGACCAACATAAGTAACCATAGATGTCGTCACAAGAGTTTCGTGATTGAGAGGGCTGACCAAGAAGCAAGGCGGAACCGGCAGATTCCTTACTGGATTTGGATAAGAACCGACGACACTGTCTGTTGCAACGCCAATCATTGATGACACCCCACCTAGCTTGGACTTCAGTTATTTGCCTTCATCAATGTTACATGTCTTTCATTATATCGTTGCTTAAATTTTGATTTTGATAGCTACGTACTGGGATGCCTAAGGTTTTAATCTATGATGGTGTTTCAATTTTGGAGCTGCAGTTTCATTTTCTTTTGTAGAGTTCTGACGGTTCTCATTCTTATGAAGTCGTAGATATTATAACTTTTAGGGATGGAAAAGGATTGATCGATTCAGAACCGGAGTCTAATGTGAACCTTTGTGGCGAAAGCAAGTGGAATCAGATAAGTGGACAAAATCTTTTCGATTTTTTTTCTAACCGGCGTCATAAGCGGATACCAAGCTAACATGTGAGTTTAAGATTTGGTTTTGTACATAAAACTATCACATAGTAAACCTATTTCGCTCTTTAACAATTCTCGTCAAGTCGATAATGTCTTATGTTGGTGCCGGGATATATATATATATATATATTTTTTTTTTTTTTTTTTTCTGAGAAAAATTCTTCTGCCTAATATCCAAAGGTGGAGGACCTAAATCTTTACTTTTAAGGATGAGAATTCCATTTTTCTGAGTGGTTAGTTAATTAGTTCATGAAACTTTTCACTCTTTCATCCACTGGCGGTTTTTCGTTTTTTTTTTTTTTTTTGTGTATTTTTTGATTTTGGACTCAAATTGCACAAGGTATAGCTTTTCCGCTTCAGTCCTGCATTGCGTTCTGGATTTAGTAATCTCTTATGTTTCTTTTTTTGGGTGGTGGAAAAGTCCCTTTTTTTAATTTTGGACTCAAAACAAAGGATTATACATTTTTAGGTCCAGCTTCGTCGAGAGAGTCATGCTCATGCATCCTCTCTGAGAGAGTCATGAAGCTATTTGATTTTCAACTTACAGGTCAATATGGTGTCTGTAATTTTTCATGTGGTTGTTTCTTTGTTTGGAATCAGGCATTATAACAAGTTTGTAGTAAATTATGTAAATAGCTCTCTATGTCATTCATAGTCGTGTTTTTTTCCTTTGAGAAATAGATTGATGGGTCAGCCATTTTGAGAAGCTAAGCATCCTCTGATCTATTTCCTTCCACGGGGTCACTTGATTGAGAAAAACACTGTGTGGGGATGTGAGGTATTTGAGTGGCGGCATCATAATTTTTGAGGCAACAAATAAAAATAGCGATGAAGAAAAAAGCTTCACATCCTTTGAACACTTGCCAACTCCAAATCAGCGTGACGCACTTCGGCATTTTCATTTCTTCGAGTTATTGATAATGGACATGTATTTTACTCTAACTTGAAATTATTTCTTTGCCTTTTTTTTTTAGGTGATGGTGAATAAGAGCACAATCGTCACGAATGCTTTCCTTTACATCTTGAATCTGAAGCTCCAACTAGATGCCATCAGTACAGAATACCAAAACCTCATAACCCACATCCAAGGAAGCCAAAAGTTCATTTGGGTGCGTGGGTGTGTGTGTTTCTTTGGGAGGGTAAGAAGGTGGTTAGGTCAGAGATTCATAACTGCGATATTATGATGCCAAACAATGTTGTTAGAATTTAAAGAAAGAAGGATGATGTAATACCTATATCTTTACTTTATTATCTGAACAACAACAGGAAGTGAAAGTTGAGAAGTTTGGGACAAGATTCTTAGTAAGGGTGACTTGCAAGAAGAGAGGACACTTGCTGGTGTCAATTATTGAGTCCTTAAAAAGAATTGAATCTCAATGTTTTGCAAGCCACATCTACATATAAGCATTTCTTTTTCATGGAGGCAATTGTGGAAGAAGAACATCAAACTTCGGATGTGAAAGAGGTACCACATGCCGTTACCATGGCCATCACCAAGTAGCTAGCTAGCTAGAACTAAGTCAATATGATCAATCAATACATGTAATGCTACCAGTTTGGAAGCTTGAAAGGGCAACCAACTAGAGGTGACTAACGATTTTTGTATTTCTTGATGGTTGATTTCCCATTTTGATACTCCCTCAATGTCGATTCTGATTTTATGAATTACTTTTTGATACACCGGATGGAATTAAAAGATTCTAGTTATAAGAGACGAATACTTACAGGGAAGAGATACCAAAACGCCTAAGGCCAGGAATATTACAATCTAACGGATCCATAAGTTTAAGTTTGTTCGTGATGATCACGGGGGAGATGAACCTGAAGCTCAAGATGATGCAACTAATGATGAGGCTCCTGTTAATGAAAATTTGGATCAACAAGCACAAGCTGAACAGGTACCTCCACCACCCAATTGACCTCCACATCAGCGAAGACCTCCAATTCTGGATAACATTTCCCGCTCCTCGGATCGTACCACGGCTCTGGAAAACCACATAAAGGAAAATTGGAACCTTCTCTTTTTTAAAAATTGCCATTCTTTTGGAATATGGGGGCAAACCCTCTTCTCTCTTTCGCCCATCTACCTAGGCAGCCTTACACATTTATAATTAATTAAAAAATTTTAAAAATATTTCATAACAATCAAGAGAACACAACGAATATGAAAATTTATTTTTAAAGGGGTTTTTCTTTTTTTGAAAATTCAATTGAAACTGTATTTTTAATGTTTTTTCACCGAATTTGAAACTTATGACAAATGAAAATGTAGTATATTAAAGACGCAAAGAAAGTAAAATTTTATTGGATGGTAATGAGACGCTCCTTCTCCCAGGGGCAGGAAAAGTTGAATTATGAAATAGCGAAACCAAAAAAGAGCATGTCAAAAGCATAAAAAAGGAAATAAAATACCTCTATCTTTGATAAGGCAAAACTAGACGTTAGATTTGATAGATTGTTATTATACAGGAATTGATTTGATAACTGATAAAATAACTTCGTAACGACCCCGGATACAATTTAATTGTCGATTTAATTCTGGTGAAGTTTCATTATTAGGGAGACGCCAAGTGCATTTGTAATAATCATCCCCACCATAATTGACATATTCTAGTGTTTCCTTTTTGTGCAAATATTTCCAATAACTGAGTGCCGTTTTAAAATCACTAGCTGCTTCATCAAGCCGAGGCAAACAATATTCTGCTGCATCTCGAAGTACGCCTGCAGCATAACTCTCATATGATATATAAGAACATAGATTATAACAATATCTTAATTGATCAAATCTAAATTAATCAATTCAATCACACGGTTTTAGATTTTCAAGCTTTACCAACGAAATTAATCTTGTCCATTGAATTTTCACTTGTTAAGAGTTTCTCCGTATGGAATTAAAACATAATTATATATGATGGTGTTATGGTGTGGTTGGTGTTGTCTACAACGTAACGTAATTAAGCATGGCGTTATTTTGAGTATGCAACCAATGTGTGTGTGTGTGTGTTGGAAGAAATACCAAAATTAAATAAACGACACAGTTGTTGTGTACAAAATCTACCTGAAGAGTTTTTGGCCAAATCCTGGAGGGATTTGCGAGCAATTGAAACAGAACGCTGAGCGCAAGAAATTGTATCGCTGCCTAATTCGTTCATGTCCTCGTGGCCGGTTTTCTCCAAGCAATGGATGCAAAAGAGGAAATTGTCACCAGCTTGATTGCATAGTGTTTCCATTACTGAAGAAGCTTTGGAAACTTCATGATCAGCCATCAAACTTCCCAACAACAAAAGCAAAGCTGAAAGTAAAAATGAAACTCTTGTTTTAAGAGAACCCATAGCCACACAGATTTTTTAATATTGAACAAAGAATATAAGATTGATCTCGGGTCTTAATATAAAAAATTGATTTCCAGTCAACGAACTTTTTTCCTAAGGCACATTAATTATTATATTCAGAGATGTTTGACAAATGTCAAATTTCAATTTAATGCGAGTGAAGTTGGAAGTTCACCGATTAAATGTAATTTCACGAATTCAACAGTTCACTCCTTGATGTCGTTAGACTGTCTCGAATTTAATGATCCGTAAATTCTGTTAAAAAGTTAGATCTTGGTCTAGATTGAATAAAATTATGGCCAAAATGCTAACTCGGAAAATAATAGTCCACTAAGTCGTGCTAAAAGAAACATTAACTTAAAAAACAACGATTTTCCAAAAAAAAAAAAAAAAAAATTAAAAAACAACTAGTATGGTATCAGAATAATATCCACTGTCCTATCTTTCAAATATGGACTACCTTTATACTGAACGGCCCAATATAGTGATTCCGCAGACAAGAAACGGGCCGATCAAGCAAATAGAAACTTTATCTTCCTACTCATCCATTAATTCTGTCCTCGAGCAAATAATCTTAGGTTATGTTCTCTTTATTTCATCTCACATGTAGAGTGTAGACTAACCCATTGCACTAGTCAAGTGTTAGTGTTGGCATATATTGGTGTGTCCAAATCTCAAAAAGCTGAAAATGGAAAATCGGCGAGTCTACTAATTAGTAATTACAATTTGTATCAACTTAGTACTGATGTCCTCCGTCTATTAATATTTTTTCGTTATTATTTGAATACTCTTGAAGGTCCAAATATAAGGCCATATATAGTTTCATCTTAAAATCAATTGATGATAAGAGGAGTAGCATATGTGGTTATATATTAATTTCAAGAGTCTACCGTTTCCAATGTGGGACAAAAGAACTTGGGCAATTCCCGATATGTAATATTCTCAACACCCCCCTTTCAAGCCCGAAGGGGTTGGACAAACCGAATAAACTGTCGGATCAGTAAAGACCCAGATATAATTGGGTAACTAGAAAAAGTAGAAATAGAAGCCTCAAATTCGGGTAGTTAGAAGAAGTAGAAATAGAAGGCCCAAATGGATAAGTAAATCAGACCCCGGATATAACTGTCGGGTCAGTCAAAGCCCGTCCTACAAGTAACACAGGTCCGCTGATAAAACCCGCTCTGATACCATCTTGAAGGTCCAAATATAGGTCCACATGTGGTTCTCACTGTCACAATACTGGGGGTTATTTTGTTATTTTCATTAGCATGGGGGAAATACTATGAATAGCCTGGGGTAATAATTGTATTTTAGTCAATCAGTGGGCTTTAGTGCAATTACTGAATTAGCAACCATTTCTGTTTACGAGAGATTGGGTATTAATTAGGAAATGATTGGCTGTAATGGGAGACATTAATCACAGGTTTGGATTATTCCAGAAACTCTTTCTTTGCCTCGATTGTTCTCTCTCTTTTCTTCACCCTCGATTATTCTCCGATTGATTATTCCGGCCGGAATCTTCTATTAATTCCGACGGGACCCCTATATGTGACAAATTGGTATCCAGAGCCACCGTTCGTTGGCCGTACTTCCGATTCTCATGGCGTAGACTCGTTTGCAGAAGGAGAATGAAGATCCTAACCGTCGAACAGAGTAGAAGTTGATGGACGTCGCTAAAGAACCCAGAGCTGAGGCAGAGGTCACAAAGGCTCAATTTGAAGCTAAGTTTGCTCGGAATGATAAGGATTTAGCAGAAATCAAAGAACAATTGAAGATCTTGATTGCGGCTACAATTCTAAGAACGGGACTTCTTGGATCCGGAGAAAAAGAGAATCAACCAAGTTCTTCGACAGATCCACCTCAGGAAAGGGTTACTATTGACATCTCACCAACAAGAAATGCTGAAATTCAAGAAAAAGGTAAGGAAAAGAATAACTGTATACCACTGCATTCCCAGCCTCGATTAGAAATGTCTATATTCACCGGGAATAAACAGTTATTCACCGGGAAATGTCTATATTCACCGGCCCTTCCACCCGGCACCGTCGGATCACTAAGGCCGACTTTCGTCCCTGCTCGACGGGTGGGTCTTGCAGTCAAGCTCCCTTCTGCCTTTGCACTCGAGGGCCAATCTCCGTCCGGCCCGAGGAAACCTTTGCACGCCTCCGTTACCTTTTGGGAGGCCTACGCCCCATAGAAAGCTGTCTACGAGGCTGTCCCTTGGCCCGTAGGTCGACACAAGGTTAAAATTCTAGCCCTTCCAGTGGTATCTCACGATGGCTCGGGCCCCGGAAGGAGGCCTTCTTCGCCTTCCACCTAAGCTGCGCAGGAAAGGCCCAAAGCCAATCCCAGGGAACAGTGAAGCTTCATAGGGTCTTTCTGTCCAGGTGCAGGTAGTCCGCATCTTCACAGACATGTTTATTTCACCGAGCCTCTCTCCGAGACAGTGCCCAGATCGTTACGCTATTCTTTACATTGTATCAAGTATCAGATTGCCAAAAGGTTGAATACGTGGAGTTGTACCTTGAGGATGAAGCTAATTCTTGGTATCAGTCAATTAGGGTTATTCATCCGCATATTTTTTGGAAGGAATTCAGTGAAGAATTGTTGTCAAGATTCGTGGATATATCAGAGACTAATCCTGTGGAGGAATTTAATAAATTGACACAGGCAGGAACAGTACAGGTATATCAGGCAAGGCTTGAAGAAATAAGGGCAAGAATGTTGACTATGGATGTCAATTTATCTGAAAACTACTTCATTTACAGCTTCTTGAGTGGACTAAAAGAGGAGATCCGAACTGCTGTTCGGATGTTTGAACCTTCAACATTGGTTGCTGCTTTCAAATTGGCTAGGTTACAGGAAAGAAATGTTGAAACAACTCTGAGGAAGCAAAGGGGGACAGCAATACAGGTAAACAGACCAACTCCTCCTTATAATCGTTCCATTGGTGTGCCTAAGACTGCTGATAAGTCCAACAAACCCCTTAATCCTAATTTGATCAAGAGATTAAGCCTTGAGGAATACCAATATAGAGCCAACAACCTTCGAAGTTTCAAATGTGGTGAAAAATTTGGTCCTGCCCATGTATGCAAATATAAGAGTTTCAATATTATGATTATGCATGAAAATGATGAGGTTGATAGCAGAGAGGGATTAGATGCTCCTGAACTCTTAATTGATGATGGAATAGACTTAAATGTTTTAACTATTGAAGAGGGGTCGATGCATGTGCTATCAGTGGATACTGTGAAACAAACCATTGTGTTGGTGGGAAACATTAATGGGAAGAACATCAGGATTTTAGTTGATACTGGCAGTACGGATAGCTTTGTGGATTTACAGTTGGTTAAGGATTTGAAGTTGACTTACAAGGAGATTAAAGAGTTTACCGTTACTGTTGGAATGGAAATAAGGTCTGTGAAAATCTGATCTGCCCAAACTTACACTGGAACATCAAAGAATATAAGTTCAGTTACAATTTGAAGATTGTGAAATTAGGAAGCTATGACATGATTCTGGGAGTAGATTGGATGAAGCACTTCAGTCCTATTACGTTCGACTTTGATGAGATGAATGTGAGACTGAGTAAACATGGGAGGCAGTACATTTTGCAAGGCAGTGGTAGTGTTGCCAGTTTGATCTGGTAAGGGACATGGATTGTTATGAATTTACAGAAGAAAGAAGGGAGAAATTGATGACAATGCAGTTGAATTCTATCAGTTCCATAGAAGAAGAATCACACATGGTGGAGATCCCTTTACCTAAAGCTGTGGGTGAGCTATTGGATAAATATTACAAGATCTTTGAAAGTCCAGTTTCACTTCCTCCTGAGAGAGCCATTGACCATCAGATTACCTTGAAGCCGGGGGCTCAGCCATTTAAAATTCCACCATATAGATGTTCACATGCCCACAAGGAAGAAATTGAGAAGCAGGTGTCAGAACTGCTACAACAAGGTATTGCACAAGTAAAAGTCCCTATGCCTCACCAGTAATCTTGGTCAAGGAGAAAGATGGGAATTGGAGGATGTGCGTGGATTACAGGAGACTGAATGATTTAACTGTAAAAGATAAATTTCCCATTCCAATCATTGAAGAATCGCCGGATGAATTATTTGGAGCTACCATTTTCTCGAAACTGGACTTAAGGTCAGGTTATCACCAAATCCTGGTCAACAAGGATGATGTTCCAAAGACTGCCTTCCAGACTCATCAAGGCCACTATGAATTTCTGGTCATGCCTTTTGGTCTTACAAACGCTCCAGTAACATTTCAATCCCTTATGAACCAGGTATTTCAACACCAACTCAGGAAATTGTATTGGGGTTTTTTGATGATATACTGGTTTACAGTTCTTCCCTGGGAGAACATCTTGTTCATTTGGAAACTGTTTTAAGCATTCTACAAGAAAATCAGTTGTATGCAAAAAGGAACAAGTGTGCTTTTGCACAGGAATCAGTAGAATATTTGGGGCATTCAATTTCAGCTAAGGGTGTTAGCATGGATCAACAAAAGGTAGAATGCATTTCTAAATGGGCAGTACCTTCAACAGTTAAAGCTCTAAGGGGATTTTTGGGGTTAATAGGTTACTACAAAAGGTTTATTAAGGGATATGGGTTGATCTGTAAACCTCTCACAAATTTGTTGAAGAAGGATAACTTCTGTTGGAACAGTGAAGCTCAGTTGGCTTTTTAGAATTTGAAGTCATGTATGACATCTACTCCTTTGTTAAGGTTGCCTGATTTTTTAAAGCATTTTGTTGTGGAAACTGATGCTAGTGACATTGGAATGGGGGTTGTGTTGATGCAAGAGGAACAACCGGTAGCATACATTAGCAAAGCCTTTAGCCAACAAAGTAAGGGTTTCTCTGTATATGAAAAGGAGTTAATGGCATTGGTGCTTGCTATAACCAGATGGAGGCATTATTTGTTGGCGAATCACTTCATAATAAAAACTGATCATCAATCCCTCAA